ATTCATACATTAACATCCTCCATAATAAGTTTATTTAATATACATGATATAGAATGAATCTCAAAAGTGATTGAACAGCTGATAGGAATATAATATGAATAATATATATTTTGTTCTCATAATAATATAGAGCTAGTAAAGCATATGATGAGACACGATTTATTATGTACTTTTGCAGCAGTACTGCATGATCTGGAACACTACACGGTACTAGAGATGACACCAACACCTGACTCTCTAGATCATTAGTTCAGTTTTGAAAATATTTCCCATTAGAATTATGATCTACACTGAACATATACTACTACATGTAAGGCGTTCTGATGTGCCACAATTCAAATCGTCGACGTATGTTATCGGTTTAAATCCCCGACCAGATCTGTGATATGCGAGTTTACATTGCATTGGTATGATGTGACAATCAGCATATTCTGCCAGGTGGATGCCACCCTCAAAATCTCCTGCCACTCCATGAATAATTTTTCTAGATCCGCCCCTGGGAAGAGAACTAAACATAAAACTTCTGTTGGGGTTGCTTTAAAGTCAAGCTTCAAGTTTAAATTCACCTCCTGTAATAGATGTAAAACAGTGATGGAGCATTACTAACCTGACTCAGATGGTTTGTTTCAACCAAACCATCCTAGGAAAGCTCCATTGGAACCATTTGGAAGGGCAGGCACTTTCAAAATACTTGGCAGGTGATGGGATCAAATCTGTCTTCACCTTCTATCATGGGCCACTTTCTGAGTGGTTAACAATGGCTGGTACATGTGGAGCACAGCACTTCTGATTGGTGTGGACACACAAGAATAAAAAATAAGTTAATACAAAATAATTAAAACGTTTTTTTTAATAAAATCGCAGGCTTTGCGATTTCATAATCGCATCATTTCAAATCGCGATTTCGATTTCAAATCGATTCATCGTTCAGCCCTAGTATTGTATGAACATGTTTGAATTGGGGGGAAGACATCACATCCTCTAGGGTGGTCCGGGGGTATGCCCCCCGGGAAGATTTTTTTGAACATTTTAAAGTAAAATGCTTCAATCTGGTGCACTTTGAGCAGAATTACTAGAGACCAGATCTAGGGGGTACAACTCTAAACACCCATATGAAAAAGATCGGTTTACATTTTAATAATGAAATAAGTATGTGAACATAACCAGTAACCTACCATAGCCAATAACAAATAAATGTAGCTTATTTTATTTGTGTTGCTCATTCATATCTTATTTTACCTAGTTAACATTTATTTATTCATGCATTTTTTTTTATCTCTCCAGTTTTAAACAATATTTTTGATTTACTGTCCTATAGTATACATCGAAATTATTTCAAACCTGTTCATCCCAATAATTATAAAGGAGTGCCTTGGAAATATGTGTTTACATAAATTGTGATCAAACCGTTTGAACTTAGACTAAAGTGAACTATCTAAACACTCAAGAGTCCTTTACCTCACTGAGCCTCTCAGTCTGACAGGAGAGCTCTCCTCCACCCTGGTTGTAGAAACATCTTCTTCTAATATCCGTTAGCGCAGCTAGCACCAGATTCTAATAACAACAGCGCCAGTACCGGTGCGCCCTCTCTCTCTCCCTCGCTCGCTCTCTCGCTCCCACGCTCACTTGCATTTTGGCTGTGAGCTGCGGGCGCCTGATAAGCCAACATCCCCCACTTTCATCACTTACAGCGCCCATCGTACAGGGCAAATAAAAAGTGTAACCGGGGCGAAAAGGGTGTTACATTTACTTAATTATGAATGTTGTTACATCAAGGCCGAAAATTAGGATGAGCGCCAACGGTAAAGAAATCTGGCGCCCTAGGCGACCGCCTATGCCAAAAACCGGCCCTGGTTGTGTGTTTCACTCATATTGTGGGGGCGTACATCTGTTTACACAGTCACATTGTGGAGACTCGCCTTCCTTTTGGGTACAAAATGAATCAGAAAACTTCAATTATGTGTGGAGAAATGTAGTTTTGTTGCTCCCCCACAAATTAAAATAAAAGATTAATGCAAGGGTCTTTAAAGATTAAGGTAACGGGAGATTTCTGGGAAATAAAAGTAAGTCCATGTTAAGTAGGGCTGCACCATTATTGCCAAAAATCATGAACATTACTTTTTTTGGTTTCTTCATACAGACACATTCCATTTGCTTTTTATTTAGAGCCAATATATACAAAGAAAACATGAAAGAAAACATTATCAATTGATTTTTTTAGACAACATTTTGATTACCAGAGCACTGCCTCAACTCCAATGATCCATGTTTCTGCTAAGTTTAAAATCTTTGCATCAAATTGAAACTCAAACAAGATTATTACTCAACTGAATTTCGTGCTTTTTTTACATTTGCCCTCTTTTGTTTATTACCTTTCTACTCTGGAAATTCTGACTCCGTTAAGAACTATATTATCCTGCTGCTACTCCAGAAACGGGTCATCTGTAATAAGTGACATCATCTGCATAAAACACTGTTCCTCCGCTAAGATTTTAAGGTCACCACGGATAAGAAGCAGATTTCTCTCTCCCCCCTCTCCATAGCGTGATGTCGTGTTGAGTGAGCCGGCCATCCAGGTGCGGCGTAAAGGGAAAGGGAAGCAGATCTGGGCTCTGGAGAAGATGGAGAACAGGCTGGTGGACATGAGGGAGCTCTACCAGGAGTGGAAGGACTTTGACGAAGATAACGCTGTGAGTGAACACAGATACGAGCCTGATGACGCACTGACTCGGATAAATAAATGTCATCATAATCTGTAGAACATTTACAGTTTAATTCAGTGATATGTAGATGTGTCAGCTGATATCTGATAAGAATAATCTGATTAGTTTCATTTCTGCCATTTTGCTTACCTCATTGATTTAATGCTTAAAAAATAGGGACACAAAATAAGCACAGTGAACAAAGAATATGCAAATAAAATATGGGCAAATATGAAAAATAAATAAATAAAGTCCTGATGGATCATTAGAACTCCAGTTTTCCAACAATACAGTCTAACATTTGACCCTGAAGTTAAAAAGTGATGACCCCATCAGTCTCACCAAGTTTTTTTCATTTTCTCTTGAACCCAGGTGATGCGGTCCTACTTCAAACGTGCCGACCCGTTCTTCGACGAGCAGGAGAACCACTCTCTGATCGGCGTGGCTAACGTCTTCCTGGCATGCCTGTTCTACGACGTCAAGCTGCAGTACGCAGTGCCCATCATCAACCAGAAGGGAGAGGTAGGAGGCCCTATTTACAATACACACACAGACAATTTAGATACCATTTTTACAAGATCTTAAACTAATAAAATATACTGTATATTTGTTTATTTGATTAAACACTTCTTTTCGAGCAAATGCAAAGCTCCCCTCATAAATATGTGTATATTGCAATGTAAGAATGACTTTGATGTGAAAGGGGTTGCTTGTAGTGGTGACACATTTACAGAACATTAGCATCTGTCAGCTCATTATTTAGCTGTTTCTGGACCATCAAGTCCACAGTTTTGGTCTACCACGCTCTCATCGGCAGCAGTTTTTGAGAGGAAACTCCAATAACCTACTGTAAACTTTGGATCCTGCTCCAAGCAGCAGACACGCACAGCAGAAAAAAAGTTTAGCCTGGGAAGAAAAATTGGCAGGGGAATTTATTTTAGTGTTTCTTTTTGGAGTACTACATGTGGCCACAAGAGGCTGAAGTGCTCCTTTACCACATGTTATAAATACAACTGAAAGTGGCCGATTATAATATATTTCTAGCCAAAAGACAGACAGGACAGTTATGTTTCATAACTTGCTAACAGAACATTTACTGTATGTACCTTTTGGTTTAGAGTGCATAGAGAAATCTAAAGTCGCCTGGAAAAAAAACATTAAAGCTTTAGTTCTAGAAGGAGCATGGGGTAGTGGTACACTGCACCCTCTTGTGGTATAACACGTAAGTTAGTTAGTAGAAAAATGATCTTGGCATATTTCACATATGTTATTAGGGAACAGATTATCCTGGAAAAACGGTTTTCTAACTTGCCTCTCATGGCAAGTATGTATTGCTTATTTGGATTATTAGGCATCACAATAATATAAGCCTATGTTATGCACTAAATGGTAATAAGCCTCACTGACTAGAAAAAAGTACTTAAATGGTAGGAAAAAAAGACTTGTTTGCTTCCTGCTGAAGTGACAATGGGACCCTCCCTCTGTGTTTGCTCATCAGGTTGCAGGCCGGCTGCATGTGGAGGTGAGGCCGGGAACAGAGAGCTCTGAGGAGGACGCTGCAGGACAGAGCAACTCAGACGGAGACACACAGGACCGCAAACTGGACTGTGTGGTGAGAACTTGCTTCTGTGTTTCATTCAGTTGGAAATGAGCAAAATCCAGGAACAAGTCATAGAAGAATTATAGAATTGGAGGGATGAAACCCTCTTTAATGGTCACACATGCAGAGCACACAGCACACACAGTGACATGTGTTCTCTGCTTTTAACCCATCCTAGTACCAGGAGTCTAGTACTAGGAGCAGTGGGCAGCTATTGCACAGCGCCCAGGGAGCAATGGGAGAGGGGGAAGGGGGGTGTCCGGTGCCTTGCTCAAGAGCACCACGGCAGGGCAGGAGGTGAACTGGGACCTCTCCAAGTAGCAGTCCACACTCCATATTTAGGTCTGGTCGGGGACTTGAACCGGCAACCCTACGGCCCCGATTGAGACACTGCTGGACAGTCAGGCTCCTACATGCAGTATCTGTTCAGTGTTGACAGGGATTCTAGGGGGGAAATATTTCAAAAATGAATAATGGATCTAGCAGGCAGTCAGGTGTTGTGTCCTCTCTCCGTTGTGAGTGTTCCAGCTCACTGTACTGTGAAAATGTAATTAAATCGGTGTTGTCCTTATATCCTTTCTAGCTTCTGTTTTGTTAAGAGGAAACAAAATAAAAGCCAAGAGCTCTTTGCTACAAATTCCTACATATTCACCAAATCAAAACATATTTTGTGACTTGACTCCTCAAGTCACAAAATACGTTTTGAGCCAGACTTACATTTAACATACCAACATGTTTCAAATGCAACCAAGACATACGAATGTTGTTTGCTGTGCCACAGCAGCCTCAGCCGCAGAAGTGACCTTTTGTTCTGTTCTGGCAATGCGGTCTGGAAGAACATTTTTGAACTGAATCATGAGTTCACACAAGTTGTCAAAAGAAGTGATGTCAAGAGCAGTTAACCAACGCTTAAAATGAATAGACAAATCCCTCGCCATCTCCACATACGTTTGACCTTGTTTTTGCTCAACGGACCTACACCGCTGTCGATAGGCCTCTGGCACCAGTTCATGTGCTCTAAGCACCGCCCATTTTATTTTAACATAGCTTGAGCTATCCTCCAGACATAAAGAGGAATATGCGGACTGTGCTCTTCCTGTGAGAACACACTGAAGCATCAGAGCGCAGTCTGCAGCTCACCAATTTCTAGCCTTAGCTACACGTTGAAATAGTTAAAAAAACGTGTCAGGATCACTTTCATTAAAGTAAGGCAAAAAGCGCAAGTTATTGACATCAAAACGATGAGGAGACCTGGGCACTGTCCACCCTGCCCCTCACCGGACAACACGCCATCTCTGAGCATAGACAGACGATGTCCCTCCATCTCTAGCTTGGCTTTCTCAGATTCTTGTCGAATTCGCTCCACTTCAATTTCCTTTTTAATTTCCAACTCATACTTTATTCTGTCGTGTTCCAGCTGCATCATCAACATTTCTTTCTGCTGCTCAAGAGAAAGTGCACTAGCCTGAAAAAGAGGCTTTGACGAAACCTCCCCTTTCTCTGTAGGATACACTCCTATCTCCTATATTATAGAGTCTTCGATGTTCTCTTTCACCCTTTTATCACCGACAATAGACACAGAGAAATGCTCAGCAATCACGAGCAACTGATCTTTCGAAAAAGTGCCAAGAGACTCCTGAGATGGAGCTTTGATGAATGTCTCTATGTCAGCCATATTATTTTACAATGACAACTCACAGGAACACAGCACCGGACCTTTAAGCTGAAAAGAAACAGACAGACCCCACAGCGTTTATTATGTGCACAAAGTGGAACAATAGTAACTTTTGATTGGAGTTTCCCTGCTAACTATTCACCATCCCAATGACTAATCTCCCCCTGGTCTTCATGCAGTTACTTGTGGTCGGTATTTACGCACTGGAGACCGCTGGCACAGCAAAGCGACTAGCAGGCTAGCAACACTGCTGAAACCCCGGCCATGCTCCCAAGCCGAAGCTTCACCCACCTTCGCCGCAACACTACACACACCCCGCTCAACGATCCCAAGGGAACCGCCGCTAAAACTCTGCACCGCTCCACATACAACGCACCAACAAACTCACACGTGTCAGCGAGAGAAAAACAGCTGATAAAGGCTAAGAACAACTGGCAAACACTCTCCTCAAATATAATGCAAAACAAATCAAAGCCTTGCAAAGTCATTGAATCAGTCCCAAACAACGATCTCAAATATAATGTCCTTTACACAAGCGGTTTAATGAGCCGAAACAAAGAAACCGGCTGCACTGCATGAGCTCCCAACAAACTTTACACACACTCACCAACTCCTAATACGACGCACACATATGGCAGGCTCCCATCATAGTTCTTCAACTATCTTTGTTGTTCATCATTATCTGTGTATGTGATTGGATTTTCCTCCACTCCTCTCCTCAGGTGAAAATCCTCCAGGCCAACGGTCTGCCTCGCCACCTGTCCAACTTTGTCTTCTGCCAGTATCACTTCTGGGGGCAGCAGGAGTCGGTGTTCATCGCTCCAGAGATGCAGCCGTCCAGCTCGCCTGCAGAGTCCAGAGACCCTCAGTGCACGGTGGTCTTCGACAGCGCCAGGGTAACAATTCCACTGCAAGTTTTGACGGTATACAGGGTTCAAAACATTCTTCACAATTAGGTTTTATTCGTTACTCCATCTTAACATAAATACAGCAAAGTCAATGTATGAAGAGCATTGTGAGAATGTAACACTCATATCAACAGTTGGGTTTGAAAAGAGACACAATCTACTCCATTCAACACCATTTCAGAAACAAACTAAAAAAAACAAGTGAATTCAACACTAACAGCAACACCAACATTTAACACCAACAATGAAATGATGAAAAAAGAGAGGTTATTGTTAATATAAGAACATGCACATTGGAATGAAAGATCTCTTGTTTTTCTCCCTCTGTAGGAGTTTTCGGTGTCAGTGTCGGAGGATTTTGTGGAGTTCTTGGCTGATGGGGCTGTGGCCATCGAGGTGTACGGACACAAGCAGGCCAACCACCGCAGGAACCTGGCTCTGTGGGACCTGGGAGTGATTCAAGCCAAAACCAGAACCCTCAGAGACAGGTGATGACACACAAACACAACCCTGCAGTCCTCGAAATGATTCAAAAACACACACAAGTTCAGCTTCGAACTTCAGATGCTCCAAATACATAAAGCCAGGGCCGCCCCTGGCCAACTTGGGGCCCCAAGTGACATTGCATGTATGTCGTTCAGTATGCGTTTACAGGTGAATACGTCTGCATTTCCTGGCAAATACTAACCTCAAAAAGATAAAAATATAATTAATGCAAATAAACTACTACTAATAATAATAATCATAATCAATTCAATAATATAAATACTATATTATTTTATTATAACAGAGTTGTAATATAGTCAAGACAAAACATGCTTATGACATGCTCAAAAACTGATATTTCTTAAATCTGTATTCAAATGTAGTTCCTTTTTGAGCATGTCATAAGCATGTTTTGTCTTGACTATATTACAACTCTGTTATAATAAAATAANTGGCAACGACGTCGTAACCTAGTTTTTGTTTTTTTTCGAATAGTCATGAAGCAATCAGATGACAATGTTAATCTGGTGACGCGGGTTAGACACGGGTCCTAAAGCTCTCTTTATTCGTTGGGTCCAGATACTTTCTGTTCGGGGTTTCTTCGTTGGTGTATGTGTCATGTACTACAAGAATTAAACTTTGGTTTGATTCCGGAGTGGCTACTGAAATTCTGACTGTACCAGTAAAACCAAAACGATTGTAACCTTAGTTTTTAAATTTTTTTTTATACAATTTTTTTTTTTTTTCTAGGGCCTAGGCGGGCCCTAATAAAAAAGAGGGCTAAGGCTAGAAAACTTTTAGTGACTTAGCCGAGGCTAGGGGCACTAGCCTAGCCCCTGTAGAGATCAAATCATTATGACAATTGTTGCCGCAAGCTAGGTAATCAGGGTCCTTTCCGACCTTGATATAATTCTGGGGACCTGGACAGGGTACAAATTTAACGACATTTGTATGACGCATAACACGAGCAGCAAGGTAGACACATAGAAAACAATTAACCTATAAAACGTCACCAGTTTTTAACGAACCTCATTATAGTCTAATCTTTGACTACGAAGGAAAAGTTAAAAGTCAAATCTTTTCATCTGTCGTATCTAACATCATTCGCCATGAAGATTATAGATTGGAAGTATCGATTAACCGTATTCCTAATATTACAAAATAGTACGAAACATCTCCCACATAATGCTGCTGTGAAAGAAAGAAGCTATATCCATGTTGGATAGAATATCCAATTTAAATTAAAAAAAATAACCTTAAGGGACAACTTGAATGCTTTTTTTTCTCTTAATGCATTGCATAAAGATTGGATCGGGAAAAATCGGTATGGGCAAATTGTCAAAATCAAATGATCGGAAGCAAAAAAAGGTGATCGGGACATCCCTATTACTAACACCTGTTTTTTACGGCTATGTCCAGTCATAATGTCGGCTGGATAGCACAATTCACACTTATTTTATCACGTTGGAGACACAGGCGAAGTCTCATCTAATATTTAAGATTTGGCAAATCTGGAGCAACTCTCCAAGACAGGAGTTCAGTGTGATAAACGTAACCTTTTAAATATCTGCAACATCACTGAAATAGTGCCAAACACCTCATGGAAGGAGGATTTCTGAATTTCATGACGCAAGTGAAAAGGTTTCTTATCATTTCTGCTTATAAAACTAATATAGTGTGTATTAATGAGGATTTACGTCATGGGAGAAACTCCCAACCAAGGAGTGAGAGGTGGAAAATAAAGATTTCTGAACTTGGTCACAAGCAGATTGTAAAATCATTGTTTTTACCTTATAGAGGAACCAGGCCTTTTTCCCTAATAATTAGATGTTCCTTTTCCCATCGACTAACTCACCTTGTATCTACAAATATCATAATATGTAGGTAAAAGACATATGTTTTGAATAGCTCAATCACACCAGGTATTTGAGGGGAAACTCATCAGAGTACTATCAGATAGTAGAGCAGCAAAGAAAACACATATCAGTAGGATGCGTTGGCCAGTCAGTAATATCTTTTTATAGCTCATGCAGTAAACTCTGCACTGCAGAAGCTCTGTGATGCTGAGGGAAGAAAACACATCGGTGTGAGAGAGTCCTCTGAAAGGGAGGAAGAGTCATAGCCTTGATCGCATCGAGGCACTGATGGGCCAAGGTCCAAAAGGGAGAGGAGCCTCAGTGGACATCTGTGTCCAAGGTCAAGAAGAAAGCTCCTCTTGCATTCTGGGATACAACAACATGGCCGTATATAGAGTGGATTAGTCCACTAGGTAATACACGGAAGTATCTCTTTAAATATATGGATTTATCGATTATCATTTGTATTATTACGACATGGCCCCTTTCCAAGCCTCAATGATTCTTCTTAGGACGCCTCATTTGAATGTATATTCAATTATTTATTTTGAATACAACTGATATTTGTACTATGGACCCAAGCCAGTGGAAGAACAAACCCCTCTGCACTTTTATTAAGACTGCACTTCGTCAATTAAAATGCAGTTTCCCATGTTGTACTGTGTATGGTGAGTAGGGCTGCACGATATTGGAAAAAACTGACATTGCGATATTTTCTTCCCCTGCGATATTTATATTGCGATATGAAAAAATACAGGAATTGAAGAAAAGACCGTTTTTTTTGGCCGCAAACCATCCTTTCTTGAACTTTGATGCTATAAAATTGGTATTTTTTTAACGATATTTAACCGCATGAAGGATTTTTTTAGTCACGGACTTCTGGATCTTAAGTTATCAGAGCAACAAGCTGAGCTAGCTCGGTTATCCTGCTGTGATTTGATCAAGAATGATTGTGATTGGTGGTTTGCTGTGCATGCAGAGCCAAAAGAGTTTTCCTTCTTGTAGCAAGCAGCAAAATAATTCTAACATGACGTGTTTGAGTTGATTTGCCTACTTAATATCAAACGTTCTAAAAAAAAAAAAAAACTTAAGTCCTGCAAGCACATAACGCGATTATCGTCACGACACGATATATCGTGCAGCCCTAATGGTGAGTGTGATTTTATTTACACTTGTATGTGTCAATTTAATGGACAATAAATAATTCTGTGTCTGAATCTATTTAGGTGACGCTTTTATCCAGAGTGACTAATGTAGACTTCAAATTGGGGTTATGTATTTTTTCCAAGGACACCTTGACGTGTTGACAGAAGGGGGAGGGGTCGATCTGCTGATTGGTAGACGCCTATCTACGCCCTGCGCAACAGTCGCCTGATTAGTTACAACAACAAAAAATGTTGTTCTTCTGCCTCTCAAATATGGAGATTTTCTTATTTTCTCGTAATATAATTATATTGAGGTGAATTTAAGAGAGGGTTAAAAAAAGACATCCCCATTGGACTTTCTGGAACCGAGCTGGACATTGTTTACTAATCCCTACACTTATTAACCAATTGAACTAAAAATTAATCGATGCTGAAAATCTATATCTTCAAAGGTCCCATGTCATGCTTTTCTAGTTATTACCCGTCCCCTTGTGTGTTATGAAGGTTTTTATGCATGTAAACGGTCTGCAGAGTCAAAACCCTCAAAGTACACCCTGTAGCGAGTAAAACTCTAACACAGAAAATACCTCCCCAAAACGCCTCGTTGGAGATACGTCACTGTCCATTGATTC